TTTTAAAACTTCTGTAATATATACAAAATAAATAGCAAAACAAATTTACTTAAAGCACTAAAGTAGGTTTTCTTAGTATTTCAAAAAGTTATAGTTATTTTTGTTTTGAAGTTTTTTAGAGTTTATTTTGTGTAAGTGATTTACAGAAAGAGTTTTGCAATATATTTTTTAAATTATATTGCTTTAGAAAAAAGATTATAAATATAATTATCATTTAAAATAATGATAATAATATAAGAACTAAGGTTATCTTTTAAAAAACATGATAGATTAATATACTATAGATATAATAACTAAGCTAAAAAATTTGGTTTTTTGATATTTTTTAGTTTAAATAAACCTATATATTTACAAAGAATGATTTGTTTATAAATAACTTTTTTATTTTTTATTGTATTTATTATTATTAAATACTTAAATCATATTTTAAACTTTTTGTATTTTGCAAATCAATATATATAAAGTTCAGCTTCATCAAAGTCACTAAAAGAATTTTTTGTCTTTAAAGAAATTAGTTTTATATTGTTGTATATATCATTTGAATTTATATTACTACAAGAAATTTTTTTAAAATATTATTATTATATCAATATTATTCTTGTTATACTTCATAAATATATTTTTATTAATACTAATCTTAAAAAGAATGTATATTGATTTGTAAAAAAAAAACTGATTTATAAATATGATTAGTAATATATAAAGAAAAATTATAATAAATTAAAATAGCAAAACTTATTTAAAATTCTGAAAACAAAATCCTAGCAGATTATAAATTAATAAAATACTAACTTTATTTATAATTTTTAGAATTTAATACCAAACCTATAATTTTCTTGATTTTAAACAAAAGTGTGTATTGATCTATAAAAAAAAACTAAATTATAAATATAATTAATAATATATGAAAAAATTTTAATAAATTTAAACCAATGCTACTAAAATGCACCTATAGTATTAAACACCATAATTAGCTATATTTCAAAAACATACTAGCTAATATCTCTAAAAGGTACTAAGTAAAAATGTTCAAAACTCCAAAAATCTTATACAACTAAAATTTAAACCCTTATATCTAACCCTTATCTTACTCTAAAGTTGCACTCTAACCCTAAATTTTGGCTAAAAACTTATTAATACTATAAACACTATAGACGCATTTTATATTATTTGATTAAAACAATAAAGTTTACTTAAAATCCCAAAAACAAAATCTTAATAAGTTGGATTTACCTGTACTAAATTTAGTACATTGTACTAAATTTTGACGGCAAATAAATTGAAATTTCTACCAATTACAAAAAGACAATTAAGCTCAAAATTAACAAGCTATTTACTTATGTCAGGGGGCTTCTACAATAAATGTTATAGGCTCATCGGAGTTACACATGAGACAAAATCATGTGTTAATTACAAGGTATAGCGTCAGATAGCAAAAATGTGACAACGATTATATAAAGTAAATCTATCAATATAAAAAAGGTTAAAATCAGTAAGTAAGTGGGTGTTATACATCTGATTTATGCATATAACAATCAATGAACTACTAAAATATAAAAAAGACGATTGTTCAAGTAAGTTAAAACCGGTTGGCGCTTTATTATTCAAAAAAAATCTTCAATATTTTTGGTCGTCAACTCCTTTGTGATCATGAAGTAGGTGCTCCTAGGTGCCCAATACACCAGCCGTGAAAGAAAAATCAAGTATGGGTGCTGGTAAGTATTGTGTATGCATAGGCATATAAAAAAATTTTTTTCTTATAAGAGTACTAAACTTTATTTTTTTCTTTTTTAACGTTAAAATGAGACGAATTTCTCTGAATATTAGACAAGGTTCTAAGGTTTCTGTTTTGGGCTCCGTTGTGGGCGAAGATATTGCACGTTCTTTTTTGGGAGAATCATGAAAAACAAAGTGACTTTTGGCAACAGTTCTATAGGCTGCACCAGGCAAAAACCGTTGGATAATTTCTCTTGACTTGCAACCAGAGAAAGAAATTGAAGTCACGGTGGGTTGTATTAAGTTTGTGGATTTTTCCACAAATAGTGTGGGTACCAGTCAACGTATAAATGATGAATCAGAAACAGGTGGTAGTGAAATGGATATGTTTAGTGATAGCGATAATGATTGTGATAGTCAAAGTGAAGGTGAAGGTGAAGATGCAATAAATAGTAATAATGTAAAGAACATACATTGGATTAATGAAATTGCTACAATTGATCCTCGTCAAGTAGCCTGTTCTTATTCTGGTACACCAGTCGTACATATTGCTGATATCTCTAATGCAACATCCAGACAGTTTTTTGAGCGGTTTATGTCTGTTGACTTCATAATATCAGTAGTAATTCCGTCTACGAATAAACGCGTGCGTGAGTATGAAATTGGGTGGAGTAATTTAACTTGGATGGAATTCATGAGATTCATTGGCATCTTAACAATTATGACATTTGTAAAATGCGCAGATATTTGTGACTACTGGTCTACTAAACAAGACATAAGTGGGGTTTTGTTTACATTTGGTCAATATATGTCCTACTAGCGGTTTCAAAATATCATAAAGTATTTGACATTAACAGACATACCAGTGAATGATGATCCCTTTCATTTTGCACGGCAATTTCATAATTCATTCAATGAAAATCTTATAAAAGCTATTTCACCTGGATCATACCTTTGCATAGATGAATCAATGTGCTAGTGGATGGGTAAAATAGATAAGAGTCCGTTTTAGCGAAAAATACCGAGAAAGCCGCACCCAGTTGGTTGTGAATTCAAAGCCATTGCAGATGCACAATTCAATTTGTTCTTGAGATTAGACCCAGTAGAGCCTCCAGATCATGCTAAAAAAAAAAATTTTCAGATCTATATACACCAACCATTGCATCAGTATTAAGATTAATAGAACCATGGTTTTATAGTAGTAGAATAGTTATTGCTGATTCGTAGTTCGGTAGTACAGATGCATGTGTTACTTTGCATAACTATAGGAATTATTCTATTTTACAAATCAAGAAGCGTCGTTACTGGCCTAAAAATATCCCTCATGTTATTACTGATGCACTTGAAAGTGCATATAGATCATTTATTAGCCGAACCTGCAAAATAAATAATACTAATTTAACTGTATGCTCAATTCGTGACTGTAAAAATATAGTTCTTCTTGCTAGTTGTTCTATGACAGTTTCCGGATCAGAAGTAAAGCAATACATTAAGGATTATGGTAATGTAACATTTCGTCGATCTGTTGTATTTGATGAGTTTTGTGAATTTAGATCAGCAGTAGATATACTAAATAATTTGCGTGATAACATGCTTTCTTATCATGATGTTCTTGTGTCTAAACGTTCAGTGGATCGTATTTTTGCCTTCTATCTTACTGTTGCAGAATCAAATAGCTTCTCCGCTTATTGCCAACTTGTCCTAGAAAAAAAAATATGAAACACGTCGATTTTCATAAACGATTAGTAAAATCGATCTTTGAATACTATTCTGGTACTTCGGTTGCCGATCGAACTAAAAAAAGACGCAAACCAGTTTCAGATAATTTGGAGCATCGTCTTACAAGCCTCAACAATAATCCTGAATATTCACGTACTAAAGGGAAATATATTCAACTCCGTTGTGTGAGTTGTCACAACCGTACAACTACTAGTTGTAGCTGTGTAGCTTCACAAGGAATGTGTACGAATTGTTGGGCCCAGCATATTCGGTTGTTATATGGTGCAGATGTAACAAGGTTAAATATTTTTTTTATTTATTGCCCAAGGTTTATTTTATTATTTTTTTTTTAATATTTTTTTTATAATGGGCTGTCAGAAGGTTTTTAATAGTGTACTAAATTTAGTACACCCGTATTTGCAAAATAATAGCAATTTTTAAATTTATTTTTTTCGATATTTATATTATAAATAAAATAAAAAATTGCATTAATAAATAAAACAATATATGCTGATTTTTAATTATTAAAATTATCTGATTTTATTAAATTTTGATGTCTCTATGAATTTTATAAAAGTGTCTATTTTTAGTACAAACTAGTAAATCCAATCTATTAACATATTATAAATTAATAAAATGCTAACTTTGTTTATAAACCTTCAGAATTTTATACCAAATATATAATTTTCTTGATATTCAAATCTTGCTAAAAGAACTATTTGCTTCAAAACTATTTGTTTCAGAATACAATAAGTATAAAAAAATATAATTTGTACATTGTATATATATAATAATAATATATGCATAATCAACCCAACCAAATTGCTGATCAATTCTTATATTCAATAAATTATAGTATGTGTGATATAGTCAATAATTATAAGAGATGCACCATAATGCATGATATACCAAATTATAATTCTCTTTATATTTCTTATAATTTTATTTATTCAAAAAAAATATCAAAAAATTTTATCTTTTAAGTAAAATAAGACAAAAACAATTTTATTTTCAAACTTAAATTTCGGGTTTTAGACCCCGAAATAATTTCATCAACATGTATAACTACTACACCAATTTTGTTATGACAAATGCTCGATTTTGATTGGCTAACGGCCATGATTTATAAAATTTTAACCCGCATTATATAATTGTTTATATAATTTTTGGCTAAAATTAACTTTTAATTTTTTTATTCTAAAAATAAGTTTTTTGAAAAATAAACCAACACTATTAAAATTAGCCCGAACCATTTTTTACTTCATAGGCGGCTATGATTTCATTAGTAAAATTTTGAGTAATTTCGATCTAAATGTTTGATCGTCGCTCTTGGAGGGATCGGCCAATAGTGCTTCAGGAATTTTAACCAATCATAGAGAGATTCACTGTTTTTGTTTTTTTTTATAAATACTCACTTGTTTGGTCTTTCTAGCATATTTTCTAATCACACAGACACAATGAAAAGTGGTGGCAGTTCACCAAAGATATCCTATTTCTGGGCAACATTATGCGGCCTTCTTAGTTCGAGCTGCTGCATTATTCAATTACTATTGAACATGTTTTCCATTGGTTGCGCCGGATTCAGTCTTCTTACACCTTACCGACCAGTATTTCTTAGCTTTACTGCAATATTGATAACCACCACAATATTTCAATACGGACTTAGATCCAAAAGAGCATTAGTGACAATTTTAATTTCAATACTATTATGCACATCTCCTGAATTCGTGTCGTTTTATAACCAAAGCAATATTTCCATGACTAAATTGTTCTCGACCGCACCTCTATCAGACAATTCAAATGAACAAATAGAAATCTTTATCCTTCAACTTAATGGTATTAGCTGTGAAGGATGTGCCAATCGAATAAAGAATAATTTTGATGCACAACCTCATGTAATTTATTCAAAGGTTTATTTTAAAAATCAATCCGCAATAGTTGGCACTCTTCCCGGAATTTATGAAGCAAATGATATCTTGACATGGGTCAAAATGATTGATTTCAAATACGAAGGAAAAGTTATTCAACAATATATCGTACTTAAAGAAGACTTATTATAAAAATGAAGATTCGTCTTACGATGATGCATAATTTGTCTAAATTAGGGAGGATTAGTCATGTGAACAATGAATTAACAGATTTATTTAAAAATTAAGTGCTGCTATAAATAACTTATTTTAAACGACTCTACTCCGAAAACAGCGACAATGTTAAAAAAGAAGATACCGTCACCCAACAAAAGCTCCCGTTCTTTTCCTGGCACAATGTTTCAGTTTTGGAAAGGTAACTCTTTAGTATCCAAACAACCTACGCCTACGCCTAGTTCCTCAAAACATTCCCAAAAAGGGTTAAACTCATTTGAAACCAAAGCTGGTCTCTGGAATGTAACAATTAACATCAAAATAACCGACATATTTGGCATAGGAGTTTTGGCAAAAACATTTTCTTTAATACTAGACTCTCATTACAAATTTCTTGAAGATCAAAATGAAATTATTAAGCGTATCATAATTATTTGGGAAATTTTAATTTTAACAGTAATAACATTTTATTTGGGAAGATTAATAGACGTCGCTGTTTTGTTCATAAAGTTGGTTGATGATGGTATCAGGGGTACTATAGGTATTTTGGGTAGTGCATGTTATTTTTTAATATCAGGATTGTCAAGATTGTTGCCCGGGTAACTAAACTGTGTTTACTATTTTATTAAATTTTATTATAAATGACGTTTAGTTGGAATTATCTTTACACAATTACTTCTTGTCAATCTTTTTTAGTAGTGTATCCCAATAAATTTCATGATTATAAACAAATTCTTGGTTTCCACCATATTCACTTTCTAATTGATCTTTATCAATGCTATCTAGAATATTAATCCATTCTGGGTTGGATTTCATTCTGTCAGGATTTTCAAGATCAACAAACTTTATCTTATTTTTTGTGACGGGATCTATAAAGGGAGATATAAGTTTGAAGAATCCCCAAAAGTACCAAGGAGCTAAAATAATAGTTTAAACAATTTATTCAATTTATCTTGTATAAAATTATTTGTGGTTAAGAGTAAACTTTTCTTACCATTAACAATTAGTGCCATTGCAAGTCTTTCGGGATAATGAGATCCTAAAACATGCATGAATTCTTTGGCGATTCCCAGGCCAGGACTTTTACGAGCAGAACACTCGTGAAAATCGATAACAATAACAGTGTTTTCCACATCTTCTGGCATTAATTTAATTGCACTTTCAAACATAAATACAACAGCCAAGACTTGTCTAGGTCCTGCTTTTGTATTTTCTAGCCCTGGTCTCAAATAAATAATAGGTCGTCCATGTTTATCAAATCCATTGATATATATTTTACCAGTAACGACCTGTGAATTGTAAAAGATTTTCAGAATCGTAACTTTAGATATTCTTGTTAAGATTGAAATACCTCAGGTTCAACTCTTTCAGGTTCAATATCTGCAGGTTTATACTCTCTTCGCCACTCCAAAGTATATTTTATCCTAGCTTTAGCCTCAGATAAATGCCATTTGGAAGCTCGAAGGTAACGTTTTAAACAAGCATCTGTAACCCAAGAACGTTCGACTTGATGATGAGGATCCTCCTCAGGTAGCAAGATAGCGTTTACATAATTAGAAAATTCGGTAAAGACCTCTTTTTGTTCGACGCTAGCTTCTGGCGGAAAAATTGGTGTAAAGTTTTCGGGTGGAATGAAATTAGGTATATTAGTTGGCATGTTTTATTCTCTAACACTACGCTAATGACGACAGCGATGACGATAAATTGCGACTATATATATTATTAAATTATGTTCTATAAGTCTATAGGTTTTATAGATTTTTAGCTGAACCGAAACTTGTCTAGTCTGGTTTCTCGACATGCATTAAACGCGTTGAGCAGCAGTATCAGGATACTGTGTAACTTTAATGACACCATAATTCTATAAACGATTTTTGACCATCTTATGATTCTGATCTACTTAAAATCCTTTTTTCTTCGTGAAACTAAAAGCGATGTCTTATCAAAATCCGGCAACTTTTTCACCTTACACACCACCTCCTGACGAACGAAAGTCGAATCGTTATTCTTATATTCCTAGTTCTAGCGCTACTGCGTCAACTTCTGCGTCTGCTTCTGCAAACCCCTTTGCCGGAATCTATCGAAAAACCGAGCAGGTACCTGAAGGTCAAGTAAAAATTAATAGATATGAGACAAGCCTGCCAATAAGGTTTATTTTATTTTTTTTCTTTTTAGTGATCTTTCTATTAAAAAGATGTTATAGATTCTTTATTTCCGGTTTTAAAACGATTTTTGCGGATTTACTTCGCGTTAGGGTCGATATTGAAGCGGCTATGACATATGCTTTAGGCTGTGTTACTGGTACTATGTCATTTTCGTCAAATTATTCTATTTCACAAAATAATTAATGTTTTCCTTTTTTTTGGGGGGTTTTTTTTTTAAAGGTCTCTTTTTTTTAATTACCGAGCAAAAAAATGATTATGTTCGATTTCACGCATGGCAGGTAAGAGAAAGAAATAAAATTTTATTCTTAATATACGTATTTAATTTTAATATTTGTTAATACTTTTTTATTGATAAAAAAAACAAAAGTCATCCTTAGTATTTTCAACACTTTTCGTAAGTCACTCTTGTCATTATTAAATAAGATTCTTTTAATAACTTTATTATTTGTGATCGCTAACTTTTTATGAATTAGGGTATCAATTTTATCATATTGTTCCTTGATGAGGTTCTAAGCCTTGGTGAGGTTCTAAGCTGGATTTTACTAGTCAGTGAGATAGGGCTTGCTGTTTTTCTTGGGTGAGATATTTTCTTTTATCTAGTATTAACATTTATATTACACTTTATTAATTCATCTTCCTGAAAAATACAGTTATAAGGCCTATTTGGATGGTGTTGCTTTAGAACGTTTTGAAGTACCATACTTTGGGCCTTTGGCAAGTACGTGGGTAGATAACGAATAAATTTCATTAAAAAAGAAATATATATATATTATTTTAATACCTGATCCAACGTACTAGCTTTCTTATTTTTATTTTGATAATTTGTCCAATCTTAACAATTGATAAATTAGTTTCTGTATCAAGGCATTTATTATTGTTATTATTTTATTATTATTATTATTATTATTATTATTATTATTAAAAAATGTAGTAAGAATCTAGTGCGTATCAAATATGAAGCTTTGTACTTAATAAACCCTTTTTACAAAAAGCATCTATTTTGTTATTTGTCACGGATGATACTGAACCCGGATGATGCTGAATTTGGACCTATTTTGATATGAAATTTTAAAATTTTTTGGGGTGTTTTTTATCGCCTTTTCTTTAGGATTAGGTTAGGATTTAGGGTTAGAATTTATAATTAAAAAGTATATGTGGATTTAACAGGTCTTATATTTTAAAATCAAGACCCAGATTTCAGCATCATCCGATTTCACGATCACACGATCATCCGCGACATTTATTGTTTCTGAATTTCAGTATGTTAATGTATCTGTCTTTTTGAATATTCTTTGTTAGATGTGTTTAATTTTGTGATTTAAATTTAATCAATAAAATAATTTTTTATGCCTTTTTTTGTTTTGCAAATAGCATATTATACTTTTGACTTCTTTATTTGATTCAATTCATAAATGCTCTTTTAATCGAATTCGCCAATATGGAATACAATGCACCATTCTAAATTGATATCAATTCGTAACTATATAGTCTGGGAGGTAGGATCCCAAATTGTATTTACTAAGTTTCGCCTATAATTTGCCGTAATTAACTATAGAGTTACAAATTGATGCGTCTCGCCGATGAGGGATTTGGAACTATTATTTTGATTTCTTTCGGTATCTTTTATCAGAACAGCCTTTGACAGCGACACTTGAACTATTTTTGTTTATCTTCCTCAAGGCTAGGATTTGTATTATTATTGATGAGTAGGTCAAATATTTGAGAGTTTTTGTGGAATTCTTTGTTCGGTAAATTGGAACCGGTTTTATTTTCCATGTGTCAAACCTGGTTTTAATCGAGTTTAACATGTGAAAATAAAATCGGTTCCAATCTCCAGAATTGATATTATCAGTCATAGAACATGTCTTAATAGCTGCTGTTGCTTATAGGTCAAATGAGTTGATATACTAAAAAATATATATATTTTTATAAAAAAATCACTAAAATTTAATTTATTCAAAAAAATACATATAAACCTTTCTTGAAATTTTAAATATATATTTTTTCCTATCTTGTAATCTTTTGTTATAAGTTTTGTTTTTTTAACTACTAGTAGTTTGAATAAATCTTCTACTAAAGTTAAACAATCCTTTATTATATTCTCTAAGTCAAAAGTCTGACCCACCTAATACAATTATATGATTGGTTAAAATAATCTTTTAAAATTTAAAAAAAAATCAAAACTAGTTTAGTAGATCTCTAAGATACTTGAAATTAAAGATGTAAATATAAAGATTTGTAAATTAGTATAGTATACAGGTGGGTGACAAAAATATTTCCACACCTAAGGACTTGGCTTATAACTCAAAAACTTACTAATTAATTTATGTCCTTGACTTGACTATATGAAACCTTATCTCTTGATGATTAT